AGGGGGATTCGTTCGCCTCTCTGACAGATGGGTCCTTGTTTCTGTCTTTCTCTCCCTCACTCCCTCTCTCCTGAGCTCAGACACAGACACACTTGCTTAGACTGAGATTGAACGAATACAATAGGAATTAAAGCCATGCACACATGCTCCCTCTATGTCTCCTGAAAGCTGAGACCCTTGTAATAATTATAAAAGCAGGGGTGTCTTTGGGTGATGGGGGCTGGGCTGTTGGGGAAAACTTCGATAAAAATTTGGACTTATTGACTTTTTCTAATAATTTTGTAAAAGTTGTAAACAAACTATTCAACCAAATAAAGTTTCGAAATACAAATATAAATGTTCAATGTCATTGAAGAACCAGTTTGTGCCATAGAAGAACCTTTCAGTTATTAAAAGAACCAGTTATTTTGTCTTAGTGTGAAGAACGTTTTTCCACTGCACTACACTATTGTCTTATGTAAAGCTGATTTTTAGCTTAACTGATTAATTGTGCAACATTGACACTGTGATTTAACTGAATTAAATCAACATTGAACTGACTTGAGCTGAATAATGACACTATTCTTCTGTGGAGCAATTTTTTTAGCATAATTGGTGAATTTTGCAAAATCGACACTGTTATTGAACTGAATTGAATCAACTTCGAACTGACTAGAGCTGAACAACAACACTATTGTTTTCTGTAGAGCTGCATATCACTGAACTGAACTCATTTCATAATTGAAAGGTTTAATGGATGTTCTTCATCTGTTCCAATAAGAAACCTTTGTTTTTAAGACTGTACATTTCCCAAATAGATTCTGAAAACTGAATTGTATTCCCTTAAGAGAATAATAGAGAGTAAGAGTGCGTCTGTGTTTTAAAAGATATGTGTTGTAAAGGTAATCCCAGAGCTCCGGCCTTATCTGCTGCTTACTGGAACTGAATACAGGAGTTCTCTGGGATGGATCCTGAGGGACAGGAGAACAGCCTAACTCGTGCTCCCGGACACTGGGGAGAAGTGGGGCCGAGTTTTATAGCTGTGGACATTTAACCTCAGTATTACTCCCTTCATCAGCACATTATTACTAAAACCATTCCTTTTCTTCATTAAACACACTGAAATCATGGTCAATGAGGAGCGAGTGGGGGGAAGCAGGGAATAAAAGCCAGTCTGCCAGTTTGTGTAAATCAATCCCATATTATATCAAGTGCCCACTGCATAATTGGAAGCGTAAAATTGCCCATTTGCACAATATGCCACCTGCAACCCCTTTCTAGGCTGTTCTGCTATTGATACGATGGCTGGAGAGTGTCCACGCAACACCTCTTGCAATTTTTCTAGCGATTGCTTGGAAGTCGTGCAAATTCCATTCTGTTGGGGAATTTTGAGGGTCATACTGGCTATTAGAGCCAACCGAGGATAATTGAACCATTCGAATGAGCCGAATACAATCACTTATAGTTCCAATTAAGGTGGTCAGAGAATTCCTCTCAAACCACATTTTATAAAATGAAGTGCTCATCCAATCGCAGTCCATCCTTTTTCTGAACCCCAACCCTGTTGGGGTGAGCTGTGAGAGACGAGGGAGAAGGGGAGGGGGGTTCCATCTGCTTTGCTGGCTGTCCTTTGGGACTTGGGCATGCCCCAAGGGTCTGTAGCTGGGAAGGATAGAGGGAGGGGAGGATGGGAGGGAGTGAGAGAAGTTGAATAGATTGCACCCATGCACTAATCAAAGGCCATAATCAGTATGCCCAAACACAATAGGCAGATTTTGCCCATTCCTTATTCTAGCTTCTCCAACAAACACAATCCTTAGAAGATTCATATGTGTCATAAAACCAATTGCAACTGGCGTTTTGTAATTAATGACATGAGTGAGCAGATTTGCAGGTTTCAGTTCAACAAATTAAAAGATTTTGGAGTGTTTGGCAGGGGGCCACGGATTGTGTGTGATCAGGTGCATTCAGCCCACAAGTGGAAGTCTGATACCCACTGTGGTTTACAACAATATAACACACGAAGGTGATAAGTGGTTTGATTTAATTTTTATAAATTAAATTAAAATAAATTTAGCTTTGCATAAAACTTTTTCATGTTATTTTCTCTAAAACATGAATTGAAATAAATAAAAATCATTCTGAATATCATCAGTAAATACAGCTACTTTATTTTCCCACAGCTTCAAGAGAAAATGCAATATGCATTGGTACAATGCCAATGAGCCGACATTTAAATCAGTCCAATGTATTGGTTTTTGAAGTATTTTTCCACTTTTATACAGACTTTTTGATGCAGAAAAACAGAAGCCAGCTGGAAAACACTACAGCTTCTGATTAAATGAGACGAGAAGTGATTGTTTGTTTGCTGCATGAAAGACAGAGAGACAAAATAAAAGGAATCAAGTTGCATCAGGTTTCATGGTTTCTCGTCAGCTTGGACTTGTTGAGGGATGCCTGGATCTGAAAGCCGCGGGTCCGTGTGGGTACCCCGGCGTTAAGCATCCCATTGATTGAACTGCTCCTCCGGGGCAAAAGCAACTTCAGTGCTTTAGTTAACACCCCTCCAGCCAACTGCAGGGCTTTCCGATTGGCTGGCTGCCTCTAAGCTGCCTGTGCTTCTAGGCTTATTGTTTCGCGAGCCCTACACAGTCAATATTAAGCTTGGCTAATGTGATATAGAGGCAGCTGGAGGAGCCACAGATATTACCATGACACTACAGAGTAAGGGGTGTAATGCCATTAAAAATAAATCAGGTGGTTTGATGATTTGGCATGGTCCGGGGATTCTGTGAGACATTAGGTGGGGCAGTTGCTATAATTCTATTACACATTCTGGGGAAACCTCTGAGGAACAATTGATTCCCTTTGCCTAGTTCAGCATAATTCAATTTCTTTTCATCAAAGGCCTGAAAAGAGGAAGGCAAAATAGTTTACTTTTCCAATCGGAAAAATCAGACACCAGAATGGTCAATTCTGCGCTTGTGTAAAAAAAGAAAAGGAAAAAAAAGCAGATGTTCTGAAGACCTTTCACCTAAAGTTGGTAAGATGACTACAGAAGTCATACTACAGACACTTTTGTGAAGCCTAAGTGAAAATAGGCCTAAACAACAACGTAAACAACAAAAATAACTAAGCAGAAGATTTAGGACATTTTACCGTAGCCTACTGGATTAGTTGTTGCTTAGATTATTGCACAAACAGAGAATAAGAGAAACGTGAGGCCCAAAAATTTATCTCTTTAGTCAGTTGTAAGACTTGGTGTTCACTCTGCAGGCTCGCTTTGTTGACGCCTACGTCTTCACTGAGAAAACACGCGAGGTCCCCACTGGTTACAAAAATATATTATAGACATTTTGAACAGGTCTGGCGATCATTTGTGATAACCAAAATGTGCATCAATTAATTAATTCAGTGTGCCGTTGGTCGCGCGGTGGGGGTCCTGTGTCACCATTGTTCTGATGATCGAGACACAAACGATGATTTCAAGGCCCATTGAGAGCGCGATGGATTGTACGTAAAATCCATTAAAGGGCGGAGAATGTTGATTATTCGAAGGCTTCCGTAAAATTACAAAGTGCACTAAATATATCTGGACGTATTTGACATGTACTGGACGTATAAGACATGTACTGTCGATAAACAACTATCTTAAGTTCCATTTAAAACTATTGTTTACATATTGTATGATGATGTGGGCTATTAGTGGGTTTAAAAAATATTCATTTTTAGTGACATGACAAAAATGGTCGAATGGCTCAAAAGGGAGTTGCGCCATCAGACATACAGGCATGATTAGAGCAGGTTTAACATAAATTAGCAGACAACTTGTAGGTAATATTCAGTTTGAATAATACAAGACGGATAGAGGTTGAACCAAAATAGTCTGATTTAGCCTATAAATTATTTATCTCTACCGAATTATTTTTATGTAGGCTACTCACGTGTGGCTTAATTAAACAGGAAAAGGGAAGTTTTATAATAGTAGTTTAATAGCCTCATTTATTTCGTTTTGCTGGTCTGGTTAAGGTTTTATTTTGGGCAATACTGACATCTAGTGGTTATAGTCAAGCACTACTTTGCCTTTGTGCGGTCACGCCCTAAACCTGTGCTGATTGGTTAATAGTAGTACTATGCATAGAATAGTAATTCCTGCCTTTTAGTGATTTCATTGTGAACACATGACCGAGACACTTCAAAACATAGTAATTAATCCCAAAAGTGTTCAACACACAGTTCACTGGAAATTATCTGTATTATGAATAGCATTAAGATTTGCCTTCACTGGAATACTGGTAATTGTTCATTAGAAGCAGGTGTCATTATACTTTTGCCCAGCTACATCTATAAAGCTACATTTACCCTTTTAATGTACTTCATAAATATTCACTATAAAATACATAAACACTAGACACCTCTAAATATTAAGCATGGACTTTATTGATGTAATTAGACTAATAGATTAAATCATCCAGTTATGAGATGCAAATTAAAATGATAATAATATTTGACAGAATCAGCACAAGGAAGCATTGAGGAAGAATGCAAGTGTGAGAGAAATATTTCCCAGAGATGAAAGGAATTGAGTAAAAATAGAAATACCTAGAAATAACAGTAGCAGATCTAGCTCTTCTGCAAACACACACACACACACACACACACACACACAAAGAAAGAGAGAGGTCTTGATGCAAATGTAAAATGAGTTTCTTTTATACTGATACTGCTGTCTGTCAGTGACACAAAACACCCTAACACCCACATATGAACACGATTCTCACCTACATATAAATACAAGCGGAGAGAGTGAAACAGACTCAGTGAGACAGCACTCCTACGCACACTCTCTTCCACTCACACTGCATGCACATCCACTGCATGAATTCATCCTAGATTATTCCTGCTACCTGCTTGGTTCTCCTATTCGTTCTTTTCTCTTTTTCTACTATCAGGGGACACACATGCAATTCATCTGACTGAGCTTTTTCCTTGATTTTTTGCAAAACAGTGAACAGGGAGGAAGGACACCTTTCAAGGTCTAAAGATGGCACCAAAACGAGAACCGTCAATTAAAAAGTCTCCATCAGGGGGAACATTACCAAGGCACGGACCACCATTTCCTTGCCCTGCCACAACACCTTCACCCCCAAAACCAACTCCTGAGTTGAAACCGCGGATGCTGCGCCCCTCTGATTCCCCCTTTGACCCCAGCACGTTAGAGGTAAGTGATGGTCCTGCAACAGAGCGTTTAGAATTAGAAATTTCTCCTGCTTATTCTTCATTACTATGGCAACAGCTCTTCTATGCATCACTAAAATAGCAAAGGGAAATGTAGCAGAGATAGAATGTGGATCAAAATTGACCAAAAACCCTTAATTTGATGTGGACTTAAGAATTATACATTCATATTTTCTGAATGGCAACATGACACACAGCAACACAAGTATCAGATCTGAATTTGATAGTAGTTAGCTGTGAATAAAACATCAGTGTAATCTTCTATCCAGCTTATGATTACCTTACCATAGCACACAGAAAACTGTGTCAACCCAGCTCTCAAATCTTGAGAGAATACCAGAGCTATATCAGGATGGAAAAATGGGGCACCAATGTAGCTGGTCCACTATAGAGTCCCTGAGCTGCATTGCTGTCACCGTGAATTTTACTTAAATGTGCTAAATAATTTATATTCTTCCTTGTTATATACCTTATTCTCAAATCTAGATTGAAACCAATAGAGCAGACCAATCAGATATTGAAGCTAAGCATAAGAACAATGGGTTTGTGTAGGAATTTAACATATATATATATATATATATATATATATATATATATATCTTTGATAAATTGTCTTTATACATTTTATTCGTTATTTATACAATTCACAGATATCCTTATGAATATAAAGCCTACACCTCCATGTGCCTAGGAAGGCAGCATGGCTTCACAAACTTACAAATCATCAGCATTGAACATATACACGCTTTGCCAATTGTGTGCAGTCAATCATTATGCTATAGTGATCTGCGCTGGGAGTGTGTCTGTGCACTTATATCACTCTTTGTGTGTAATGAGAATTCTCCACCCTTCATGGTAGTGAATGGAAGTCCGACTCATTCTCCCAAATCGGTTCCTTCGAACAGTTATTGTTAAAGAATCATTCAAAAAAAGTGATTCAGCGATTCTTTACGTCATGACGTATCACGCGGTTCCTGACATCCTATTTCTAGTGAAACGTTCCAATAAAGTCATTTTAGGTAAATAGCTATTTACTTATTCGCTGTTTATTTATTTAATATTATGAATACTTTATTATTAATATAATTATTTTACAAATTAATGTTGTAATTTCATGCGTCCTGGTTAGTTTGTTGCAGCCATGATTCAACCTAACGTCACTTATTCTCAGTGGCGGCGTTTCAAGTTGTTGACACTTCAACCGTTTGGACCGAGTCAGTCAACTTCATGAACGAATAGTTCAATCATGGTAGTGAGCCGGTTTAGCTAATTCTTTAAAAAGATCCGACTCCAATGAATGATTCATTCACGAATCGGATATCGCAACACTTCATCATAACTCAGCAGCGCTAGCTCGAGTCATCTCACACTCCCGCCGCTAAACACACACCCGGAAAACAAACCACTGCAGATATGGTAGGCATATTGCACACGTTTAATTTAAAAATAGGTTTCAGTAGAATTTTTCTATATAAACATTACTAAGTTTACGGTTTGGTAACTGCATACACGATTAGTGCTAAGAATCTGTCGTTAGCCTATTTCATGCTAGCTAACCGAGTTTTACGCCTATTAGTACGCAAGAAAGTGACCAAACCTGTGTAAATTGTTAATGAAATTCTTTTACAGAAATCCAAGAGTATGATAGCTAACTTACATTAATTAAGAGATTGTGTTTTAGCCTATCTGTCACCCGGTAGCAGGGCTGTGAGTTAACGGACAGTATTAGCTGGTCAGTTTTAGCCAAGGATAGAAAACTTACCTAACTTTTTCATACGGCCTAAAATACTTTCCCAGGCGGATTTAATAGACCCATAGATGTGTCGTTGTTAGAAATCCCATCTGATTCATAGCTTTGCTATTGTGCATCATTTCATATTCACTGAATGTCGCTCTGTCTCAAAACAGTCTGACTTCAGCGAGGACCAGATCCTTGGTGAGTTTGTGTCTAGTCCAGGTGCATGTTACTCTGTATCTGTCACTCTGTATATGTACTATTTCCCTGCATTTCTTGCTAGACAGCCTGCTTTCATCATCCCATCCATTGTATTCTGCTCATCTGTTCCTCTGCCCCTGCATTCCTTCCTTACCTTTGTATTGTTTTCCTTTGCCACTGTTGTATGTCATCTCCAGATTGAGTTTAACTTGGAGCAAATACACGGTGAGTGCACTGAAAACTTTTCTGTTCTGATGTCACTTAGTTTGCATGGTGTTAAGGACAACAAGCTGCTGTTTGTGCGTCTGATAGCACCTCACCTGCCTTCTTCATTTGAAATGCATTCAGTGATTAACGTAAATGAACGGCAAGAATCATAATTTGGTTTGTTTGAAGAGTAGAATTGCATTTTTGAAGTGTAGGCCTATCAGCTAATGTGTTTCTTCTGTCGCACGGACAGTCATATCTGTAACGGGTGTGTCTGAGTCAGGAAGTGTTGAAACTGCTAACAAAAGAGTGCCATGTTAAACGTTTAAATATCAACTCTGAAACTTGATTATGTGAGTTATAATGTGTGTTACTACCAGTCGCATGAGCTTTTTTTGGTGAATGGCCATTTAGGTTCATCTTTGCTCTTGTTTGTTTAAGCAAAGAACGTTGACATAATACTGCTCACTCTCCCGTTTTCCTCTCATACCATATATGGTTAAAGGCTCAATTTAAGGCATGCAAGGGACCAGCCACATTCCAGTGAGCAGGAAAAGCATTGGAGAGATGGGAGTTTTTTTTTTTGGAAGGGCCTGTCCTAACGGATAACATTGTTATTTCGCTGAACTCTGGCTTGGAGTCAAAGGAATAGTTTATTTATAACCACAAGCACTTTAACAGTTTAAACACTCAATAATTGAAGCATAGGCTTTAAGCTTATGTTTTAAGATTAATAAAACAAACAAAAAAAAACTCTTGGCTTTTAATTGTATTATTTATGTTAT